CCTCGCACTGGGAGCGGCGCGACGCGAAGGACGAGCTGATGAGCGTGTTCATTGGTGATGTGTCTGGCATGTTCTACACGACGCTGACGCTATCAATATTTGAGGACATGAAATTTTACAAAGCAAACCTCAGCATGGCGGAACCGATGAGCTGGGGCAAGAATGCCGGCTGCAGTTTCCTCACCGACAAGTGCGTCAAAAAGGGCGTTACCGAGTACCCCAACATGTTCTGCACGGAGTCGAAAACGGCTCTGCAGTGCACGTCTGACCGCTTTGCGCTTGGCAAGTGCACAGTGCGCACTTTCGACCAGCGCCTTCCCGAGCGCTATCGCTTCTTTGAGAAGCCAAAGGTCGGTGCGCCCAGCAGCGAGCTGATGAACCACTGCCCCGCGATCAAACCACTTGCATCAACGTCGTGCGAAGATGGTGATTCCACGCAGATGCCCGGCAGTCTCCTGGGCCCACGGTCACGGTGCCTGAAGGGAGAGTCGCTGGAGCTGAAGGAACCGTCTGCAGAGAACAAGCCCATGGGCGACATCTGCGCGAATGTGAGGTGCGGGGAGAACAACACGGTGATGGTGCAGTACAAGGGTGATGATAATTGGTACGAATGTCCTGACGGTGAAAACATCAAACCCTCGGAGAAATCCGTATTCAGCAAGGGAATGATCGTGTGCCCCAAGTACCACGAGGTGTGCACGGGTCTGCCGGAGATCACTCCTGACGACGCTGTTGAGAACAAGGAAACTGAAAAGAGTGAGGATGGCCATGAGAGTGTCGGAAGCGCAGAGCAAGGTGAAGATAGCAATGACGCCGGCATATTCGAAAACAGTGGTGATGATGAGGAAGAAGCAACCTCATCTTCTGTTGTGCGAGAGCTGCCTACCAAGGGTGACGAGTTGGCAGAAAAATACGCCATCGTCACAAGGGAGGGTCAAGACTGGCAGCCAATCCGCATCCACGTCTCCGCAGAAGCTGTGGATGCCGCAGTGGAGAAATGCAAGGACTGGGCGGCAAAGGCCACTGAGAAAAATATCCGTGGTGATACATTTGACCCTAATTACGTTGAGCTCGTGTATCCAGAAGCAACTGAACACTGCAGTGAGGAGACCCTTATTACGGCAGATAAGAAGAAAACCCTTGTGGAGAAGCTCCTCCCTGCCGCCATCAAGCTGCACAGTGAACGTCTCTCAGTGCATCCTGTGCAGGGAAATCTGGTTTTGCATAAAACATTGTTTGAGGGTGATGCACCTTGCTCGTTCTTCAAACCGCCTGAAGGGCACCACAGTACAGGTGTCCCTGGGGCAGATTTTGTGCTTTATGTGACCACTAACAAGAAGAGCAATGAGTCTGTGAAGATTTGCGCTTACGGTTATGGTCATCGCCCGATTGCCGCTGTGAAGAACTTCCTCCCGAGTGAGATTGGCGAGACGAGGCGCTTGGTTCGCATGGCCGCACACGACATTGCACATGCACTCGGATTTGATACCCGACGAATGGAAAGAATTGGGATGATATACAGACCCAAGCGGAGCAGCAATTCCACAATGAGTTCCGGTGGTTTAATTTATTTTGTGAGATCTCCCAATACAAAAGAGGTGGTGAGGAAACACTACGCGTGCGAGAATAGCACAAATGGCATGCGTTTGGACATGGAATCCAACACGGTCCCATCCTCGCACTGGAATCGCCGTATAGCAAAGGATGAGCTGATGAGTACGTACGGTGATGAGAGCTCCGGCATGTTTTATACAGCGCTGACTCTTGCAACGTTCCATGATATGAAGTTCTACCAAGCCAATTTCAGCATGGCTGAGTCGATGAGCTGGGGTAAGGGCGGAAAATGTCTTGTATTCAGAAAATATGAGGAGGAAAAACTTAAAAAATCGCATTCCAAAATACTCTGTAAGGAGGAACCAAATATGCTGCAGTGCACGTCGGATCGCTTTGGGCTTGGGATATGTGCGAGGACGAATTTCTCACATGCGGTGCACGGCGACAGAATCTCTACCCCGGATGACTATCCTAAGGAAACAAAGTGGTACAAACCCTATTGGCCTGTTGTCCAGACGTCCCCAACAACTGCATGTGAAGGCGGAAATGAAGAGCTGATGCCCGGCAGCCGCCTGGGACCACAGTCGCGGTGCCTGACAACCGAATCGCTGAAGGTTAAGAACGGTACATTATCATACAAATCTGTTCAAGGCATTTGTGCAAATGTGAAGTGTGACAATGATACTGTACGCGTGCAGTACAAGGACGACGAAACCTGGCACTTGTGTCCTCAAGGACAAACGATTGATGTAACGGGGTCTGCATTCAGCGGGGGAAAGATTCAGTGCCCCAAATACAGTGAGGTATGCTCAAGGGAGCCGAGTTCAGCCGGCGTCACCGTGTTTACGCCTGTCGATATCAAAGAGAGTACAGGAACCCACGGCAGCAGCAGTGCAGCAAGTACACGATCTGACAAGGGCAAGGACCTACCGAAGAGTTTTCATGGCTACATGTTACCACCCGAAGTGGAACACCTCACCGAGGAGGAGCGCGCCATGTACCGTGAGCATTTTCGGGCCAACGGCGGCCTTGACAGCAGCAGTACAACGACACTCATGACTTCGATTCTTGCTTTACTGTGTCTCGCTGTTGCCATTCTGGTGACCCCATAACGGGGCACACACGCACCTCGCTGTGCACTGAACCCAGAGAGAGAGAGAGAGAGATTGAGAGAGCACATTGGGCGGAATGCTTTCTTTTCTTTTAATTTTTTTTTTGTGCTTCGGGACCACAGGTCCCTTTGGAGATTTTTCCCAATTCTTGAGATTTCGGCTCAGCACGTCTTTGCTGAAGGGAAAAAGATATTATATTTTTTATTGCTTTCTGTGGGCGCGTCTACACACGAACTTGGGGTGAAAAATTATTGAATAATCTTGTTGGAACATGCATCCATCCGGAGTGCACGCACCCACGCGGAGCTGGGAAGTGTGAAATTTACATAAGGACAGTGGGCGTCACGACGGTGGCTGGTGCAGTCACGCTTCGGCTTCATTTCATTGGGGAATTATGCAAGTCTTATGGGGTGGGATTTTTTCTTTTTACATTTTTAGGGAAACGTAAATGCACTGCTGTGTGCGTGTGGGGTTGTCATTGTTTGTGTGAATGTGTTTGATTTCATGCCTCTTTCTCTCGTATTCTCTGCATAATGGGTTTCTTTTTCTTTCTTTTCTTTTCTTTCGCACTTTTCTCTCCCTCCCTTCTCTGTTGCGCCTGTTATGCACGGACTAGAAAAGCTAACCAATCAAGCTACATTGCTAACCACACGNCTGTTGTGCGGCACCTGCCGCGGGCCGGACGCGCTGCCCAGGACACGTACACCGTCGCCGCCGAGAGTGACACTGACAACTGGCAGCCAATCCGCATTCACGTGCACAAGGACAAGGTGGAGAAGGCATTCACGGAGTGCTCCAAAAAGGTGTCGGATTTGCCCAGCATCAACAATAGCGACACACACGAGTGCGGCCACAAGAACAGGATCACAGCGGAGAGGATGA